TAGGGCCGAACCGGGGTTTGAACCCGGGGTCGCCTGCACCCAAAGCAGGAATGTTACCACTCCACCATTCGGCCGTTGTTGTGTTTATGGTCATCGGCATCAATTTAAGAGCTTGTATCGTACCTAAATTCAGAAAGAATAGTCAGGGAAGATCAGACCTTCTCGTCCCTTCGCGCCTTCGGCGCTGCGGGGCTCCCAACCAATGCCAATGTCACGTTATTCATATTGCCATTCGATTAAATATCTTTGGATGGGAAGTATGAAATGGGAACAAAGAACTTTTTATGAAATGGAACAGAAAGATGAACAAATGAAATATTTAATGCAAATGCAAACCCAACCAATAACATATCTTTCGCGAGTTGCAAAACCTTCATGCTAAACGAAATCCCATCATTATAACCATCATCATCACCATCATCATCAGCATCATTACCTTCATCGTGTGTTCTCAAAACCACGTCATCCTACGCCACGTCATCGACAATCACTCCTCAACAGTCCTCACCAAGTCTGTAGCCCGGCCAACTCTCCCATCCGTTAATCTAACTCTAACCCCTTTTGCATGATAATCCCGCGACAACACAGTTTCCACAATACCCTCTGCAAGTATCGTAGTCTTTGGTAACGATACCAAAACTTTAGTACCAGGAGTTATATCCATCCAATGTGGTGGTTCGTGACGTGAAGTTTTCACTTGAGTGTGTGAGATTGGTTGTTTGCGACGGGTTGGATTCGTCATGTAACCTGTACAGATGAAATATGCTTCGGCTGATTCCCCCCGAGATGCTTGTGGCTACAATATATGGTGAGAGGAAGAAACAAACCTGGAAACCCTCAAACAACAACAAGCATACCTTGTCAAAGTAGACGTTTGAAAAGTTTGTCAACAGGAGGTCTTTCAAGACTGCAATCCAATAAATAGATATTGGAAAGTTAAAAAAGTGGATCATAGTATGACACTGAGAAACAGATAGGAGAAGAATGGGGAAAAAAGATGAAAAAAGAAAGGTCTTTAAAGCGCACCTGCTTCCCCGTCACCTCTCAAAAACTTGCAAACAAAACTACCACGAGGTTTTAGAACCTTTTTTGCGACAGATAAAGCAATATTACAAAGGTCCTATATGCATATGTAGGAAGCAAATCGAAAGCCTAGTGTGTAAGTAAAACCTTGCATACAAAAGACGACAAACAAGGAAAAACGAAACAACCTACCATAACTCTAGCAACATCAGCACCTCTATTCCCAGTAAACGAATGAGCCATATCACTAACAACAACATCAGCAAGTCCCCCACTCAATTCAATAGCCTTAGCTTGAACACTAGAATCAGTCATATCCCCCTGTAAAAACGTCACATCTGGAATGGGATCCATGTGAAGGATATCGATTGATGTTACTTTCCCATCAGGTCCAACATATCGAGATGCAACTTGTGACCAGCCTC